GGGGCTCGCTGGGGTGGGGGAGGGGCTCGGGGTCGTCGTCGTCCTCGAAGGTCAAAGTTCGCCGGGGGTCCGGGCCGGGGGAGGGGCTCCTGCGGGGGAATTGGGGAGATTTTGGGGAATTTTGGGAGATTTTGGGAGGATTTTGCTGGTTTTGGGGAGAGAGGTTTTTAAAGGATTTTTAGGGGAATTTTTTTGGGAATTTTGGAAGATTTTTGGGGGGATTTTTTGGGAATTTTGGTAGATTGTTGGGGGGAAATTTCAGGATATTTTTAAAAATGATTTTTGGGGGAATTTGTTTGGAATTTTAGGAGATTTTCGGGCTTTTGGGGGGAGATTTTTTTAAAGGATTTTTAGGGGAATTTTTTGGGAATTTTTGAGAGATTTTTTAGGGGATTTTTGAGGTTTTGGGGGGAAATTTTGGGAGATTTTTTAAATGATTTTTAGGGGAATTTAGGGGATTTTGGGAGATTTTTGGGGGGAATTTTTGGGATATTTTGGGGGAATTTTCATGGTTTTGGGGGGAGATTTTTTTAAAGGATTTTTAGGGGAATTTGTTGGGAATTTTGGGAGATTTCTTTGGGGAATTTTTTAGGAATTTTGCCAGATTTGGCGGGGCGATTTTTGGGGGAAATTTCAGGAGATTTTTAAGTTATTTTTGGGGAAATGTTTTGGGAATTTTGGGAGATTTTTTTGGTAGGGAATTTTTGGGGTGATTTTTCTAGAATTTTTGGGGGATTTTAAGGGAAAAATTTTGGGAAATTTTGGGGAAGATTTCTGGGAATTTTTCGGGATTTTTGGCCGGATTTTTTTTGACTTTTGGGGGATATTTTTGGGAGTTTTTTTGGGAATTTTTCCGGGAATTTTGGGGGATTCCAGGGAGGGTTTTTTTGGGCCCCACCTGCTCCCCTCCCCCCTCGGGGGGGGGGCTTCCTCCTCCTCCTCCTGGGGGGGGGCCTCCTCGTCCCCCCGGAGGGGGGGGGGGTCGGCGCGGGGGGAGCGGGGGGGGGTC